ATTGTTCACTTGAACCATTTTAGTGGGATCTTGATTATTATTGTGGTCACTGATCAGAGATACTGTTTGACATAACCTAAGATCAGTTGTGATAAATGATTAAACCTACTGTAGTAATCTGTTCATTTTTATTGTCTAACTAGTATGGATTTTCTCCAAAGAAATACTTAAACCGGCTATTTTGTAACAACTAAATTAGGTTACATCTGTAGTGAACGAGAACAACAACGGGGACAACCAATTCTAGTTGAATGCAACATTACAGAAAATCTTAGTAAAATCTGAGAACCATACAGTAAAATCTTCATTTACAAAATGTCAATTAATCGTATTGGACTTCATTGTTCCGCCGTTTCCACCGCAATCATTCTTTGTTCTTTTCCTCTTCTCTTTGATCTTCTTAACGTTCTACCGTCAGGCATTTCACTTTCGATTGGTGATGATACATACTACTTATATCTATCGATATCAGCAACACATGCCACATTACTAGTATGCGATTTAAATTAGGCCAACACAATCAATGGAGTAGATATATGTCGGACATAAAATAATTTCAATTATCAGACAATCGAATAATTCAACATTCACTAAGAGGAAAAAAGTCCATTGAATTGAACAACTAATCATATCTCAAGAAGTATAAAATGATTTGTTGTGGAACTTGTTAAGAAAATAAAAAGCAAATAAATTCACTTGATGTTGTTATACTTGTATCTACCGATTGTTATTTAAGAAGGCAATTGATCAGTCTCTTGTTGACATATGTGCATCCTGTGCGGGTTGCCTCGATATAGCCTTAAGTCAAAAGCTGTTTAAGCAAAGACGGATAGTGGTTAGCACTGGAATCCAGGTCGCGCGTTTTGTCCTATAACAATGGGAAGATACAAGTAAACAACACCAAGTGAATTTAACTTCACCCAAATGCACAAGTAAGTGGCTATCAGTACTCAGTAGTTAAGTGGATAATGCGATGGCGTTCGAAGCGAAGGGCACTGGGTTCGAGTCCCGGGGGAAATTTCAATCCTGGAATGCGGGTGCATCCAGCTGATGAGATATAAATAGGACGAAACGTGCGTCCCGGATACCACTGCTAGACACTATCCATCTTTACTTAAAAAGCATATAGTTTTAATCAGAATTTTATAACTTCTATGAATTTGGTGATCATTTTGTTTTGCTTATGAACTATGGCATCTTGGACTGGTTCTACGTTGCAGCTAAGTGACTGAGAAGTTTATAATAAAAAAATAACCTCAGTTTGAAGATATTTAATTATACTTATCAGTATAGGGTTGTGGAGATTATTAAGTTTTTGATTGAGATCGTGAACCGATTGATGCTAGTCAACCATTGAAAACCTGGAATCACTGGATGGCCGTTTCTTTCTATTGTGAAACTCTTTAGCAATGCACATCCACAACCTATCAATCAATCTGATCAGGATGTTCATACAGTAACAGAGAGACATGTATGTAAATCAGTACAATAGATGGTCACGCAACTTTGTGAATTGGTTGATGTCAGACATCAGAGTTTAAGAGTTCGCTGGCGAGACCGAAGGTCGTGGGTTCGAATCCAGAGGGCGGGATCATGGATATGCACTGCTGAGGAGTCCCATGCTAGGACGAAACAGCCGTCCAGCGGTTCTAGGTTTTCAATGGTGGCCTAACATCAGTCGGTTCATGGTCTCAATCAAAAATATTTAATTAGAGTTGTTCTCAACTTATGAGAACATTATTGATATTTTAAACAATGTTAGCATAATTTACATAGATTAACTAAAAAAATTTAAGATGCGAATTTCAGCACAAAAGTTGTTCAAAGTTCTAGGTCAGTCAGTCAGTCAGTCGGTCAATGAATCATTCACAATCAACATATAGCCTAGGACAAATCTTCTTCAGTTCAAGTTCCTACACAGTATAAACATGGTGAGATTAACAAGATGAATAGTAAAGAAATCAAAATAATGTGGTAATAGAATGAAAAGTTGTGTATGAAGGGATATTTAAAGTCAAACGCTAGAGTTAAAGAACGGTTCAAAGCTATGTCACCTCAACCTGGTAGTCTATGTTCACCCGTATAGCTCAGATTATTAGTTTCTGACTTCATGAACTGATGCCGTTGGGCTTTCTAATCACCTTACTTACTTAAACCTGTTACTCCTCGTGAAGAAGCACAGGCCACTCATCAGCATTCTCCATCCAACCCTGTCCTGTGAAATCATTTCCAGCTCCTTCCATTTGTCATTCATCCTTTTCATATCTGCTTCTACTTATCGACGTAATGTGTTCTTTGGCCTTCCGCTTTTCCGCTTTCCTTCAAAATTCCTAGTTAGGGCTTGCCTCGAGATGCAGTTTGACGATTTGCGTAATGTATGTCCTATCCATTTCCATCGTCTCTTCCTAATTTCTTCTTCATCTGGAAGCTGGTTTGTTCTCTCCCACAAAAGGCGGTTGCTGATGGTATCCGGCCATTGGGTGTTGGGCATCTTGCGTAGACAGCTATTTATAAATACTTGTACCTTCTTGATGGTGGTCGTTGTAGTTCTCCAAGTTTCAGCTCCGTACAGTAGAACTACCTTGACATTCGTATTGAAGATTCTCACTTTGATATTGGTTGAAAGTTGTTTTGAGTTCCATATGTTCTTCAATTGTAGGAATGCGGCCCTTGCTTTGCCAATCCTCGCCTTTACGTCTGCATCGAATCTTCCTTGTTCATCGATGATGCTTCCCATGTATGTGAAGGACTCGACATCTTCCAGAGTTTCGCTATCAAGAGTGATTGGATTGCTGTTCTTCGTGTTGTATTCTTCGTGTTGGTTTTCCCTTTGTGTATGTTGAGGCCCACTGATGCAGAGACTGCTGCTACACTGGCTGTCTTTATCTGCATTTGTTCGTGTGTGTGCGATGGGAGGGCTAGGTCATCTGTGAAGTCCAAATCGTCTAATTGGTTCTCAGCTGTCCATTATATGCCATGTTTTCCCTCAGATGTGGAGGTCTTCATAATCCAGTCGACCACCAGAAGAAAGGAAGGGAGAGAGTAGACAGCTTTGTCCGACACTGATTCTCAATTGGAATGCATGTATCACATATTCTCCATGCACGACTTTGAAGTGTAATCCGTCATATGAATTCCGTATGATGTTGACGATCTTCTCAGACACACCATAATGTCGAAGTAGTTTCCTTAAGTTCCTCCTATCCACACTGTCAAGAGTTTTCTCATAATCAAGGAAGTTGATGTACAGTGACAAGTTCCACTCAACTGATTGTTCGACGATGATTTGTAGTGTTGCAATTTGGTCTGTGCACGATCGATCCTTACGGAATCCAGCTTGTTTTCTCGAAGTTGAGCGTCTACTCCATCTTTCATCCGGTTCAGCAACACTCTGTTAAATGATTTCCCTGGTACTGACAGTAGTGTGATGACTCTGTAGTTTTCGCATTTGCTCAGATCTCCTTTATTTGGGATCTTGATGAGGTGTCCTTCTTTCCAGTCCATCGGCACTCGTTCTTCCTCTCAAATCTTTATGAATAGAAGGTGAGGCATGTTTGTAGTTACTTCGATGTCTGACTTCAGTGCTTCAGCTGGTATGCTGTTGGGTCCTGCTGCTTTCGCGCTCTTGATTTGTCAGATGGCCGATCTGATTTCTTCCTTCGTTGGTGGATTGACATCTTTAGGAAGATCTGTGTGTGCTGCTTAGACGTCCAGTGGATTCATTGGAGCCGGCCTATTCAGGAGTTCCTCGAAGTATTCTACCCATCTGTTCTTCTGTTGTTGAATTTCAGTGATTGGCTTGCCTTCTTTGTCTTTGACCGGTCTCTCTGGTTTACTGTATTCCCCTGCTAGTTTCTTCCTTGCATCGTAAAGCTGTTTCATATTTCCTTCTCTGGAAGCTTTTTCCGCTGCCGTCGCTAGTTCTTCCAATCATCTAAGGTTTACATTATCAAACACGTAAAGTAATTTTAAAACTGATATGTTAAAGTTAATGCTTCATTGATCCCCTTCCAGTTGTCCTCCATAGTAGTTTCTTCTTCCTTCACATTGTCCGGACACTCCATGTACCTATACAAATTGTTGTTGTTGTTGTCAGAAGTGCCATCGGCCTCGTAAGTTTCAAAGAATCTCTGCTTTCATGATGAAGCGTTATAATTCGGACATTCAGTTTATTATGCAGACACCGTTTTAGACAACATATAAATTCGTTTGTCTATCTATCTACTGCCCAATTAGCCAATACGATGACTATTTTGTTTTAAGGTAATCATAATCTTCGTAATTCTTATCAACCAATGAGTGTTTAAACCCTCAATTAGAATTCCCAGGGCCAAAGGAGAAGTAAGAGACCAAAGAACACATTACAACGAGAAATGGAGACAGACATGAGAAGAATGAATAACAATTGGGTAGAGATAGGAAGGAAGGCTGAGGAGAGAGTTGGTTGGAGAATGCGGGTCGACGTCCTATTGGATGTACTTGCATCTCAGAGATGATGTGGCTATCATAAATCAGTATTTAAGTGGATAACGAGATGGCGTTTGAAGTGAACGGTACTGGGTTTAAGTGCCGAAGTGAACATCCACTCTATGATTCAGGTACATTCATCTGAAGAGCTCCAAACAGGGCAAAACACGTATCAAACTGGATTCCAACCTTCGCTCAAAACGCTTGTAACGTAAGGATATATCAAGATAAACCTCACAGAGTGCACATATGCTGATAACAGAAAGACTGATCAATTGCAGTCCCAGAAAACAATGAGAAGATTCAACCAAACAGTACAAAATTTCACAGCTTAGTTTTCTCAAATTTCACAAAACGCACTAAATATTTGAAAGGGATTCCTTGATGTTTTCACTGAACAAAATGAACATAGAGAATTCGTAACTTTATTCAACAAGAAAACATCTCATAAGGTGGTTAGATGGTTTGAAGTTTGATATAAATAAACAAACGATGAAAACCGGTTATGTTTTGTAATATATAAGTTTTCAAATTCAAATTATATAACCCGGTAAATTGTTGAATGGATAAATGGATGCATTTGAACTATTACAAGTACTGGTTATGTTACAAATCATACCAGTAGTGGTTAAATATGTAGTTGAAAACATATTATATAATAATAATGCAGCCAAAGTATATTCTGTACAAAAGATACGTAATTGTAATTTGCCAACTGTTATTTGACTGATAAATATTGTTATCTATAAAATAAATGAAGTGAAACAGTTAGATTAAACCTGATAACGAATACCTTTTTAAGTGTTGGTTGAACAAACAAACAATCTCTATTGAATATATATTAAAATAATGATCATGAATCGATTGATGTTAGACTTTCAGAGAAAACCTAGGAGCAATGGACGGCCGTGTCATTCTAGTTTAGGACTACTAAGCAGTGGACATCCACGATCCAGCCCCAGGGATTCGAACCTATTGGAGTGAGGCAGTTACTAACCGTAGACAGTATCAGATCGCTCCACAATTTCGTGAATCGATTGAAGGTGGACACTGACATCGTTGGATTCCGGCTCACTGATCTAGTTGTTAAGCGTTTGTTCGTGAGACCGAAGGTTTTGAGTTGGAATCTTGTGAACGACATCAAAGACGCGCACTGTTGAGGAGCCACATGCTAGAACGGAACGGCCGTCTAATGCTTCCATGTTTTCAATGGTTGTCTGAAAGCAATCAGATTACGATCTCAGTGAAATACGTAACAATCTCCAGAATCTCACACTGGAATATGTTTCATTTTAAGGTGTAAAATGCCAAACCAGACTGGATTTCATTTATGTGAACAACAATTTCATGTCACATTCACCAGCGATTGTAATAAGGCAATGAAACTCCATCTAACAAATCCTTGGGAAATGCACACGATAAGATGATTTTTAAAACATCAAGAGAGTAAATGTTTATTGGCGCATTGAATATCTGACTCCATTTGAATCGTACGAATGATCGTTATCGACTTATAAATATAGCCAATCCTCATATATAATGATCGACTTAACTCGCGTTAGTGGATAAGGGAATTAAAATAAGTCAAATACGAGAATGAAGTTTTGAGTATTTATAGTTGTACAATTGTCGATCGAATATTGAAGCGAAACAAAATGATATGCAATAAAGAAGTCGAGTGAGACAACTCACTCAGCGAGTCTAGGCAAAGAGCTGAGCAAGGCAAGGCGAAGTGAGTAATGACCAAGGTTCAAAATATGACTCAGGAAGAATGAATAAATTGGTCCGTCCGTGAGCTAGAATAAGTTGAGTGGGCTTGACATAATTCCAGACACTACAAATTTACTTTAAATAAATGAAATATAGATGACTTTAACTCACAACAAATAGCAATATATCTGTAATTATGTAGAATATGATCGCTGCTGACTGAAAATGAATTAAAAATATTGATGAGTTCGTATTTAACTAACGGAAGTTGTATATAAATCGAATATTATGAAAACATGACTGGATTTAATGAGGTAAACGATGTTACTGAGATCACGTATACTAAACCTCTAGAACACTCAAGTCAAGATGTTGAGCATTCGTGCGTTACACTGAAGGCTCTGAACTCGAATCTCGGTTGTAAATGTCGTAGATGCACATTGCTGCACATCATTTCCTATTAGAACTAAACGATAGTCTGGTGCTTACAAATGGAATTCTACAATCTCCACAATTTCATACTGAAAATAAACAATATTCCTACTGCTGGTAATCCATTTCTTACATTCTTTCAATTATAATTCATATATTCTGCCCATCGAATCCAGAGTCCTCAATTTCATTCTGGAATTCTGAAGTACGAAACCACTGTGTTGGCATCCAACAGTGTTAATATCTAAATTCAATCAATCTACGACATCGCGCAATTATCTTTGATAGGTTACTTTCTTACACCCGACACATATTATATCTACTGGCCTTTCTAGAGCCCTGGAAATTTTTTCTCAAAGCTGGTCACCGCTGAGATTGTTGAATTTCATACCTCATTGATTCGTCCATAAATTATGGTCGGTCGGCTTAGATTCTGGTTACTGATGTGAAAGAACGACGATAAATATTTTCCGGAATTCCAATTATCTAAATCTGATGACAAATACAAGTTCATTTTTAATTACTATGAGACTGAATGATATCATCGGATCCAACATAAAAATCTCAGTAGCGTTATCATTGAGCTATCCAGGTCGCAACTGACCTCTTGTTGGACTGAGATGTATCTACAATTTATTGATCACTAGGTGGTGATCAATGTCATGTGAATCAGGTCCTTCGTAATGCAGATCGAATCCTATCGACAAAGTTCCAATGTGGTCACTAGTCTAGGTGACTCGACATTGTATGCATTATGTTGTGATAAGATAGTGGTTGGAGTTAGTCGACAGAAAACTCTGGACTCGAGTTTCGTGCTATTTGGCACTCGTCAGTTAGGTGTCTAAATACTAAATAGTATCTCACCAGTATGTATTTGTTGTGAAAATATACATAGTATAAAGTAACAGTAAACTACACCTGAGTATCTCACAGAGAATACCGCAACATCGAGATAACTTAATTTGTAAATGAATTAATTATGCTTATTGACATACCGCGTGTTTAAAAATTGTGATTACAATACTCGCTACAGCAATTAAAATGGCAGTGATTATAAGCAGTATTACAATAGTCGTTAAATAGTCTGCTAATCTTGTTTTGATAGCTGCACCAATAAGTAATGCTGATGTAAATAATGTTAGACTGATTCCAAAAGCATCAAGTTTAGCACCCATATCCACGAATATATCCAATATTTCAATAGCTGTAGCTAAGGTTATCGTCTGAAAATATGAAATGGACGATGTACACCTTTAAACAACAATGTATTTAAAGGTTTGATTATATAATGTTTATCAATCCATGATTTAATCGATTCAGATGGTTCGTCAAACTTCTAATAAGATAATAAACGTTTGTCCTTCTAACGATTACTTCGAGTATTGATAAACAATTGTTCACACAAAATACTCAATGTCCGTTCACCGGAAAGCATCAGTAACAGCCGCCTTCTGTGGGAGGAAACAAAACAGCTTGTTGCTCAAAAGGATATTGGGGAAAGAATTTGGATGTAGACAGGAAATACATAGTGAAAATCATCGAACTGTATCATGAGGCAAGCACTAACTTGGATTTCCAAACGGAAACAGAAAAGAGGAAGGCCAAAGAACATACTTCGACGAGAACTTGTAGGAGATATGAGTAGGATGAATAACAACTAGAAACAACTGGAAAGAATTGCTCAGGACAGATTTTGTTGAAGAATGTTGGTAAGCGACTTGTGCTTCAACATGAAGGCCAAATGACATAAGTCGGTTCGTTGATATTTCTGGAGAACTTCCTTAAAATATCAACTGAAGAGTCGACGAACAATGCAGGAATTTACGTAGATAAATTCCAATGCAAATGTTTTTCAGTGTATAGAGTGCTATGGGATTTATGATTGAAACGTCTTCGAGCTATCTGCTGCAAAATTGCTTTCTTTACTTACGACTGTTACTCCTAATGGAGCATGCATTCTCAAACCTACTCTGTCCTGGGCCTCCTATTTTAGTTCCATCCAATTCTTGTTCATTTTACTCATGTCTATCTCCATTTCCTGGCGTAATGTGTTCTTTGGCCTTCCTCTTTTCCTCTGGCCTTCGGGATTCCATGTGAGGGCTTGTCTTGTGACGCAGTTGGGTGCTTTCCTCAATGTGTGTCCTGTCCACTTCCAGCACTTTTTCCTAGTTTCTTCCTCCGCTACAATCTGGTTTGTTCTCTCTCACAGTAGGTTGTTTCTGATAGTGTCTGGCTAACGTATCCGAAGTATTTTGCGTAGACAGCTGTTAATAAACACCTGTAACTTCTGGATGATGGCTTTAGTAGTTCTCCAAGTATCCACTCCATACAGTAGAACTGTCTTGACATTTGTATTGAAAATTCTGACCTTGGTGTTGATTGAGTTGTGTTGTTTTGAGTTTCAGATGTTCTACAGTTGTAAATATGCTGCTCTTGCTTCGCCTATCCGAGCCTTCACATCTGCATCAGATCCACCCTGTTCATCAATGATGCTGCCCAAATATATAAAGGTTTTTACAATTTCCAAATCTCCGTCAATTGTGATTGGGTTGGTGAATGCTGTGTTGTATCGGAGAATCTTCCTTTTTCCTTTGTGTATATTGAGACCTAATGCTGCTGTACTGGTCGTCTTCTTCTGCATTTATTGTTGCGTTTGCGATAGAAGAACCAGATCATCTGCGGCGTCTAGATCGTCCAACTGCATCTTAGATGCCCACTGTATCCCGTGCTTCCCTTCAGATGTTGATGTCTTCATGATCCAGTCGATCACCAGGAGAAAGAGAAAGAATAAGAGTAAGCAACCTTGCCTGACACCGGTCTTTACTTCGAACGACTTTGTTGACTGTTATCCATGCACGATTTTTCATCATGGGAATTATGTATGATATTGAATATCTTTGGAGGCACGCTATAGTGTCGAAGAAGTTTCCATAGTGTTGTTCTGTGCACGCTATCAAATGCTTTTTCGTAGTCAATGAAGTTGCTGTAGAGTGATGAATTCCATTCAATTGATTGTATCTACTGCAAAATGCATAATCTTAGGTTATGTAATACGTTTTTGATTGAGATCGTGAGTCTATCAATGTTAGACCAGCACTGAAAACCTGAAAACACTGGACGACCGTTTTGTCGTAGTATGGGACTTCTCAGCAATACACATACACGCCGTGTCCCATACTAAGACTAAACTTACTATTCAGAGGCTAGAATTAAGTCAATGAACATAACGTAATAAGTGACACTAGGAATGTTTAAGAGATTTAAGTACATTGGTTTATGCATAGCAATATGTTTAATATTTGTATGACAGTACGAATTAACAAAGAAATAATTGATCTGTATTACTGTATAGATCAATTATTGACAAAAGCTCATTATATAATCCATCAAGTTACTGTAAACCATATAAACTTGCATAATACATTGAACAATCATGTTGCTCAGTTATATTAGAACATAACTCATCAATTACATTCAATATTCTTACATAAATAAACAAAGTAATAACATTCAATGGGAATGTATCACTTATTTCCTTCACAAATGCAATCAATAATGCTGTCACAACTGCAATGAAGCTATAAAGTAGAGAAAAATATATATATAAGCACAGCGGATGATTTACTTACTAATCTAAAAATGAATGTAATAAGATTTGAATATCCTAACACAGTAAAAAGGCAACGGTTACGGATGAAACGACGATAGTTGGATAAGTCATTTTGAAATGATGTTTTTTCAGTTCATAGATTATTTTTAAGAAAATATTGTTTGTTGAAGTTAGACATTAACACTGTTGGATGCCGTTTCAGTGTTCTGGAGGTGAAGTGTTCGCGCATGATACCGACAAGTTCTAAGTTTGGATCACGAGTGTGGGATCGTGTATGCGCACTGTTAAGGACTCATATGCCAGAACGAAACGGTCGTTCAATTATTCCAGGTCTTACATGGTAGTCAAACTTTGATGGAGTCATGAATTCACCTATCGAATCATTATTATCATAATACTTAGTTGTTCATCATTCAAAATGTGACCTAATATTTCAGTTTCCTCACTCATCGCGTAATTAACTTTGCTACGATGTAAGTAATTCAGTTAGTGAAGTTTAATTGTAACATGTGGCTTACCAGATTGTTAGGGAGATCCAGGATATTCCCTGATTAAACTTTAGAAGGCACAGAAAACTCTAGGAAATACTAAATCTAATCAGCATTGCATAAACGTTTCCAAGATACATCGAGAATGTGGAGATCCGCGTCTAATATTTTAACTGGATGATTATTCATCCTCATTCCATGTTTAGAAGAGTTCCATGAACTTTCAGAAGCACATGATTGTCTGAAATGTTATAAATATTATTGACTTTCTGAACACAAGCTAACGTTGAAATAAACGTTCTTTCCACATTTCATACCTTTCCTCTCGTGTTCATGTTGTCATGCAGATTTAGCCTGCAACTTATTAGAAGAGCTTAGGAAATCAATTCATACTCTCAGTCAGGATATTTGTCACAAATGAAGTGAAGTCATTCAAACAATGTCAAATATAAACATCGGTTCATGAAATGCTTTATAAATAGAGTTGGATATTTCTAACAGTCTAGTGTCTAAATAAATGTCATCATTTCAATTAATAAGCTATTGAGAACAGTTTGGTCAGTGATTAATCTAATCAAAATATCAGTTGGACTGATTAATAGAAGGGTGTATATCATAATATTCTTCCTCAATGTTCACAATTATTTTATTAAAACTATTGAGCAGACTACATTGACTGCTCACACTTGCCATCATTGTGATGCTGGTTTACGTTAATCATATATTCAAACTCTGATCTATCAACCGACTCATATCCTCCTTTCGACAGTTAACTGGAGTAGTGTTTGTTTTTTCGACAGGATCTGTTCCACAAAGACAAGTGAGTAAATGACATCGTAGTGAAGAAAAATGGTGGAGTTATAATATATGTACGACATTATAGTGATACCCAAGTGTTCTTGAGAGTGTCTACCTACTTTTTCTATTGGGTTAAATGACAGTTATGAAGCAGTTTGAGGAATAAGGATTATGATTTACAGTTGATGATTAATAATTATAATTCAGGTTTTTCATCATGGACTATGACATTAGTTAAAATGCCAACGAAATGGTTGAATGAATTTCATGCAAAAATCCAAAACTTATTATGAAATATCTGATTAGTTCGTCCAGAAAATTCTCTTCTCTCAATAGATTGATTTCATTGGTTGGAAATTAGTATAAAATTATTAAAACTAACGGTTTATAAATATGGGAAGGGGATTTTGTGGATATTATAGTAATTTCAATATTTGAGATCATGAGTTAATTAAAATTAAGCCACCGTTAAAAACCTGGAAAACTGCACGATCGTTTCATCGTGGTATGGGTCACTTCAACAGTGCGTAACCAAGATTCCACCTAGCGAGATTTGAATCCAACCCCTATCGGCCTCACTCATGAACATTTAGCCTCTAGACTACTGAGCCGGTCGACATCCAACAGTGTTAATGTCTTAACTTCAATTAATCCACGAAATTGAGCCACACATCCACCATTATTTTCAGTGAGTTACTATCTCACAACAGGCCTGGTTGAACTTCACTGGTCGCTGCTTCTCATTTGAACTCCGGGAAGTACCTCTTTGTTAGATCCCGATAAACATAATGAGTGGTAACTTCGGGATCCATTTATGGATCAATACTAAACGTACATTTTAATCGTATAATTGTTAAGTAACTAAGCTATTCATATTCCTGTCCCTCTTATTATAAGCTTTATTTTGACCTATGAACCATTATTATACGTTTTATCATTCTTGAATTATGCCCTGTCTATTAGTCACTGTCTCCCACATTCACAGCCACATTTAGCCAAATTTTGTACAAATTTTATTTTTTATTTTATGCTACGTTGTGATCTGTTTGATTGGTATATAAACTCAGTATGTTTGAAGTTTAATGATTCATATCACAGAGGCTCGGATTGCTGTTCTGGATTTAACTGGCTGGGCTAGGTGGAAAACAGGGCCAATCAAAACTCTAGGCTGTTCATACGGGTTTACGTGTCATTGATTCGATTGATAAGTCACTGGTCTCTAATCGGCGTTCACAAGTTATAACACTCTTGAAGTCTAATTTCAATTGATTCATGATCT